GGGCGCACGGGCACGTAGTCGGGGTACAGGCCCGTGGGCTACACTGTACCCCACTGAGGTAGGACAGGGGCGCACGGGCACGTAGTCGGGGTACAGGCTCATGGACCACCCCCACCCCCCACTGAGGTAGGACAGGGGCGCACGGGCACGTAGTCGGGGTACAGGCCCATGGGCTATACTGTACCCCACTGAGGTAGGACAGGGGCGCACAGGCACATAGTCGGGGTACAGGCCCAGGGACCACCCCACCCCCCACTGAGGTAGGACAGGGGCACACGGGCACGTAGTCGGGTACGGGCCCACGGGACGGAGCCAGCTTTTCCTAAGCGTCACTCATGGCTCTCACTAGAAACCCCCTGCCAGCCCTCATGCCCGCTCACGCAGCCTGCTCACAGCGGAGCTGCTCAGTCTGCTCAGACACAGCTGGGCCCAGCATGCCGACAGCCCTGCTACATTCGAACAAACACTAGTCTCTCTTGGTCTGGAGAGAAAGAGAACGAGGGCCCTGAGCCATAATTCACCGTGAGCTATTGTTTGAGAGGCAGGCCATGACGTGCAGGCTTGCACCCCGAGAGGGGTCTGGATGATCCCCGTTTTAGAAGCACAAAGCAAAACTACGCCAAGACTTGGGGGAGATGTGACAGAAACGAGGCACGCTATGGGCCCAGGCCTCAGGCCAAGACCTGCTGAGTCTCGTGGTCCGAGAGCCCACCCCTGAGTAGAGGGAGTGAAGCACCTGACACGCGCCCCGCGGAGAAACACATGCACGAGCCCCTCCTGCTGGGGTAGAAGCCCTCACCCGGCTCTTGGCAACCCACTCCTGGGACCCGCCCTGCTTGCGAGCTCCGCCCCTCCTCCCCGTCCCAGGAACCCCGTGTGCTCCCCCGCCCCGTGTCCACGTCTGTGACTCTTGATGAGAGTGAGACGAGGACCTGGTCAGCTCGTGGCTCCGGCCTCAGCATAGCTCTGGGCCTGGCCCTCAACTGGCCGTGCCACCGTGGCCTGAGGCTCTGGCTGCCTCCCCTGCCCATCTCCCCTCCCCCCTGCACCGGGATCCCCCACCCAGCTCATCTGCCCTCGCGTGTGCTTCTCGGGGATGTGGACCGACGCGTGCGTGGAGCCTGGGGGCTACCTGTGAGCGTTGCGGGGGTCTGTGAACCTCAGGTAGTACCACGCGGAGTCCACGAAGGTGTCCATCGTGTCCGTCTCCCGCCGGGCGGCCCCCTGGCACCTAAGAGGTAAGGGGAGGTCACTGTCTGGGTTTTGAAAATGCGAGAGCCGTTTTCCACGAGCTTTTGAGAAAGCCGCGGCGGTGAACATGAACCACGCCACCTCACGAAGAGCCAGTGCTGAGGAAGAAACACGGGTAAAGAAATTCCAGAGGGAACTTTGAGTCTCCAACAGTGAAAAGCCCCGCTCTCCACTCCCCGCAACGTCAGCTGCTAGAGAATGTAAGCAGGGACGGGACGGGCTTCCGCGTGTCCCCCGCGCACGGGCTCCAGCCGGGTCGGAAAGGGCACGGTGCACGTTCGCGCAGTAAACAGAAGCTGCACCACAACCGCTCCGACCTCTGGGGCTGCGCCGATCGCCTTCGGCCAGTGCCTGCCCATGCGCCCAGGGACTGCGACGCACCGGGGAGAGGCTGAGACCAGACGTAGCCCAAGGAGCCGGCCACGGCCAGGCCCGTTTCTCCCACCTGCTGCCTCGGGCACGGGCACAGAGACCATCGCCTGGAGCCCCGGAGACCCACCGTGGGGGACCAGCTCACGGCCCCTCGTGAGTCAACCGTGGGCGTGTCTTCCCGAGTGTGATGGGTGACATCCAGGTGGGAGCCTGAGGCCAGCCCTGTGGGAGTCACCCTTCCCCTGCTGCCCCAGAGGCGGGGACCGCACCTTCGCCCCAGCTGCTGCTCCGGGAGGGGAGCAGAGCCCTGGCACTGCAGACGGTGGCGTGCGACCCGCGGGGCATGAGGCATGGGAAAGGACAAGGCATACCTGCCCCAGGGGTGGGGGTGTCAGGGAGACCAGGTCCCGCGGAGCCCGATGGCTGTGCTCGGTCTCTGAGACCCCAGAGCTGTATGCCTGGGACTGAGGGCCCCCAGCTCCTAAGGCAGTCCTGGGAACTAGAGAGGGTCCCGTGGGCGAGGCCAGCACAGGAAGGGCGCGGCCACCTTGAAGACACCCAGGCCCGAGTCGAATCGCAGAGGACCGGCCCTTCAGCTGGTGCCGAGCCAGCTGTCACCGGGGGCCTGGCCATTGCTGCAACGCGGGCTCTCCCTCCCGAGGTGGGAAGCCGACACAGAGCCTCTTCACGTGCTGCCTTGGGGGTTCTCAAGAACTCGGATGTCCCAAGAGGAGCTGGCAAGTCTCCTGCCACTTTGGTGCAAGAGCGGGGTCTGCTTTTACCCAGGACTAAAGGAGGGCGGCTGCCTCTGTGTGCTGCAGTGGGAGGCGGCTCACACAGCAAGGGAGGGCCTGCTCCCTACCCTGGCAGCGATTAAATGCGCCCAGGCCCCCTGCATTCCAGCCAGCCTCCCACACACGGGGGTGTTCCCAACGTAGGAGACTGTCAGAGGGAGCCCGCAGGGAAGGGAGGTCCCCAAGGCAGGAGGCTGTCAGAGAAGAGCCCTCAGGGAACCCTGCTTCCCCCTCCCAGGCTGCAGCAGGAAGCCTGCGGGCTCTTCCTGCTTGGAGAGCAGGCAAACAGAACCAGATACTATCTTGGGAGATAATTAGAAGATAAAGGTTACTTTTCTTCCTCCTGTGTGTGGGTGCGAATGAGGAAGACGATGCAGGGACAGGATGCACCCGGAGGGCCCCGGCTGGCCCTTGGCAGGCCCCATCCCTCCTACAGTTTCACGGGGTGGGAAGACAGCCTGGGAGTCAAATGGCGGACACTGCACACCGGACCGGCTCCAGGAGAGTGGGAGAGAGGGAGAGAGACGGCGGGCGCGTGAGCACCAGAGAGCGGGGCGGCCCCGAGTCATGTCCTATATGGTACCGTCTCCCTCGGCCCCCCCGGCCCGAGGACCATGAGCCGGGTCCTCCTCGCGCCCCCACTTCACAGGTGAGCAGCGGGGTCAGAGAAGCCTGCACGAGGCCTCGGCGCCCCACGGCGCTGCGACCGCCCACTGAGCACGTGCAGCCTCGCTCGGCCAGGCCGGCTCAGGCCTTCCCAGCCCGACGCCCAGCAGAGCCAGCACCAAGCCCGCCACTGCCCCCAGGACGCCTACAGCTGGAGCAGGGAAGCTTCCCCCGAGCGAGGCTGTGGCCACAGCTGCCCTGCCACTGCTTCTCCACAGAGTGGGTGTGCCCGGAGTACGGACAGGGACAGACGGTCTCTACGAAGCTGTGGCTACAAGCAGTAGCTTTGCCACCAGTGGGAGCAGATGTTTCTGAACCAGGGCATGGACACTGTGCTTCCAGCAGCTGGGGCACCCACCGCAGGGCTGAGCTGGGGTTCCAGACCCCTCTCCTAAAGGTCTCAGAAGGCCTGTGCACTCTCCAGCCCGGCGGAGTCAGGGGAGAAGGCAGCGGCGTAGCCCCTCGGGAGAGGCGTCCCCGGCCTGTCAGTCCCGGGCACGGGTGAGGGACAGCTGCAGGCACGCGGCTCCTTACCTGGGGCAGGAGCAGTGCACCCACTCCGAGGCCGTGGCCAGCGGGGAGCCACCTCTGCCGGTGAAGGCCGTGATGCTGGGCAAGGTGACAGGCAGGTCCTCCAGGGGCACGGGCACGGGGCCGCAGGCGGGGCAGTGGACGACGGGGATCGGCGTGCCCCAGTACCGCTGCCGCGAGATCAGCCAGTCTCTCAGCTTGCTACTGGTCACGTGCCCCCCCACGCGCTTCTCCCGGGCTTTCTGAGTCAGGGCTGCAAACGCGTCCTGCCGGGCCATGCCTGTGAACTGAGGGTCCCGGACAGGGCTCAACCCCCGTGGTTCAGTAAGTCACCACCCAAGCCACGAGCCCGTCCCTCTGGGTTCCACGGGGCCCTCTCCAGGGAGGTTTAGATGAGCAGAGGCTGGGCTCAAACCTGCCACACGTACTAGCCGTGTCTCATGCCTACGAGAGCTGACCCTGAGCAAGTGACGACTCAGCTCTCCGCGTGTTTCTCTAAGTGAGTTACCCCACAGGGACAGTCAGCAAGCTAGAGGAACGAGGCCACTTCTCCAGGTGGAAGAGCCCAACTCGGTCCCCTCCGTCAAGGGACCAGAGAGTCCTTGGAAAAGAGCATTTGTCTCAAACAGAAGCTGCCCCAGATAAAGCCTACCCTGAGACAGTACTATTCTAGGGTCGGATTGGATCTGGACTCGATAAACTTCTAGATCTTGAAGACAATTTTTTTTTTGAGAGAGATTTTTGGCATCGGGTGTGTACTCGCCAGAGAGCGAGAGAGATAGAAAGTAAGAAATCACCCCCCAGAGGGGATGGCCACGCCACAATCCCTTCTCCTTCATTCTCCTCTTGGGATCTTGGGCATGTATGCACACGCGCCCGGAGTGAGTTCCAAGCCACGGGGTCCGGGACTTGAACTGCAGTGGACATGGGAACCCAGAGCCACGGGCACTGCGCCACCTGCTGGCCCTGAAGAATACGTCCCATCAACGCCCACCAAGGCTGAGGCCCAGACCCGGCACCCACCTCGGCAGAGCTGCTCAGCCTCTCGGTGCCGTCGGGTAGCGTTTCGATGACGTCAGCATAGGCCAGGCCCAGGGTTTGGGCCAGGAGGGCGTCCTCGGAGCTGGTGCTGGGGATCCCTGTGGAGGGGAGGAGACACGGGCTGGCCCTCTGCTCGTGCACGGAGCACAGAGTTGGTAGCACTGTCAGCTTCAGCTCCGTTTTTAGGTTTTTGCCATAAGGCCGCAGGAGGGACAGAGAGAGGGAAAGTGAGAAATCACCCCTGGAGGGACGGCCACACCACAGTCCCTTCTCTTCCACTCTCCTCTTGGGATTTTGGGCATGCATATATACATGCCCGACACGATTTTCAAGCCACAGGGTCCGGGACTTGAACTGCCGTTGGCACGTGGAAATCCAGCGATTTAACCACTGGGCCACCTGCTGGAGCCCGGTTTTAGTTTCTTAAAAGAGACTATCCCTTTCAGTTACAGAAGTTACAAAACCACAGTGGGGGAGAGTGGAACACGGCTGTGGCGTAACCCACCCCGACACCCTGACTCGGCGGCCCACCCACGCACTCCAGGGACGGCACTGGGTATAAATCGCTCAGTGGGCCCGGGGCCGGCTGCGTGGGCCTCAGCCCTTCCGAGAGCAGCGTTCACAGCGGATGGTCTACAGGGGAGGCCTTCTCAACCTGGGACTGGGCAGCGTCCCCAGCCCCTGCCTGTGGCACTCCCTCAGTGACCCACAGACCATCTCCAGAACTGCCCACGGCCTCCTGGTGGCAAAGTCTCCCCTAGTTGAGAGCCCCTGCCTCCAGGTCACCTTTCTGAACGGCTGGGCCAGAGGGACACCACACGTCAGGGGGAAGGCTAGGGGAGGCATGAGACGCTTAGGCCGGGTCGTGCAGGCCCTCCCCGGGACGCGCCCTGTGGGGGGCGGGCATCTGAGCACACGCCCCAGTCCTCCCGGTGTGCAGGCAGCTCAGCTGCGGGATGGAGCGTTCCGCGGGGTTCCGGCCGAGGCCAGCAGCCGAGAATCTGAAGGAGCATCAGCGCTGGGCCAGTGTGGATGTGCAGACGGAGGGCATCGGGAGGTGAGGACGGAGGGCATCGGGAGGTGAGGACGGAGGGCATCGGGAGGTGAGGACAGAGAGCAGCGTGGGTACTGCAGACGGGGCCAGGGCAGCACT